TCTCAGCAGGAGTGCTCGCTGGCTCATTCTGTCTTGGATGGGCACCAGATCAGACACATATGAGTAATTCTTCAGTAGCATTTTGCAAGTAATGGATTACTGCTGCCTGCTTTGCACAGAGATAGTCACAGAGGAAAAGGTGTGTTTTTAACCATTCGGCAATGACAGAGCACTGTGATACATGAGCAAGTATATAGTTAACTTTTTACTAAGAAAATTATGCATTTAAACTTTCAAGGGAAGCAGGCAAGAGAGAACAGCATAGGAGGGAGAGTCTAAGATTAAATTGTGGGGCATTAGGTAACATTTAAACAGCGCATGAGATCTGCGCAAGTAGGGTTATATCCCAGCAGTGGATGTGCTGTTCTTCTTAGTTTCTTTTCCTGGGTGGTATGGAACCACATTGTCAAATCAAAGTCAAATTAGCTGGAGTATTTCACTCAACTACTGAAAGCTGCATTAACCTTTTCCCTCACCACAGCTGAGGCGTCGGCAGCAGTAGCTGCTGGAGGCCAAAGTTTTACTGCAGTTGCCATCAGAATATTATTAACAGAGAGCAAGGCCATTTCTCTGAAAAGAGAAGTTGGGATTAATGCCTAAGGCTGGAGGATTTAGGAAGCTTTACTTGTAACAGTGAGAGATCCCTGGAGGAAAGGTGCCTGAGAAGAGCAAACCAGAGAATTAGAATGATTTATGAAAAAGACCCTGGCAAAAAAAAACCCCAAAACCAAACAACCACCAACAACAAAAACACAACAAAAGCAAAAAAACACCAAAACAAAAAACCAAAGCCAACCAAAAACACCACAAAAACAAACAAACAAAAACTTATCCATGGCTGTCATCACCCTCTCAGCATGGCCCATGGCCACATGCCACTGCACTTTCCTGAAATGACCTTGGTTTGTACTCCTGACAATAGAGCCAAGTTTCCTGATCGGTGCAGAGACACACACGGATCAACAGGAACTGTCGACTCTGCAGTCTGCAGAAACGGGAAAAGGGAGACAGAAAAACAAACAGCCTCTCAGTTAACACAAGAACTATCAACACCAGCCTTGAGAAGATGAGAAGATAAACTCCAATGATGAAGCAGTATCAGAGATTTATTTAAGATCTTAGAGTAAGGTGCAGAAAGAGCTTGAAAGTGATTCAGCACAAATAACTGAGTTCAGAGAAAAAAGAACTAGTTTCCTTTCTCCCCCACTCTTGATTTCGTTTCTGCAACATTCGATTTCCTTCCAGCACGCCTGCCCACTGTTGTTATGTGTGGTGAGAGTATGTCACATGCTGTCTTTTATGGACACGTTCCCGATAAAACCACAGCACCCACACCAGTGAAGCTTGGGCCACATTATCTAAAGATGATTTTCTTTTCTCAGCTGTGTAATTGCAATAACTTTGAATGGTACTAAGCAGAAATAAACTGAACAGCAGCTCCAGCTGGGCAGTGCTCCTTGGGCTGCTGCTTTGCTCCCTGCCATGGCTGTGCCCAGCTGGTGACCTGTGGTCCTGCTAAGTGTGGCCCCAGCAAAAAACAACTTTTGTGGCTGCTGGTAGAGCAGATTCCCAGGGGTCTGTGCTTTCCACATTTACACTTCTTTATTTAGAGGAATCGAAACAAGAAAACATCAGACCTTGCCAGTGGCTTTTGAAACCACAATCTACTTCTTTTTGCTCAGCCCTATTGCACAATCCTATAATTAGCAGCAGCCCCACCGTGCTCTGTTCCCGCCAAAATGGGCTGTGATTTACACATCAGTAACTCCCTCATACACCAGGAAAACCCTGTGAGGATGTGGGCCAGATCTGGAAATTGAGGCAATTCCCCTCTAAACAGCAGTGGGTCTCCCTGCATTACACCACTGCACTCAGACACATGGCTCTGACTGCAGCAAGAGGGAGACAAGCAAACTTGAGGGACTCAGGTTCACAGGTTGGTCTATTAACCATTTTGCAGGCTGAAGGGTGCCCTTTTTGATTACATTTTATCCTTCTGTATTACATTGTATCCTTTATTACCTATTATCCCATTTTTAACACTACTTTAAAATAAAACAAAGAAAAGAAATTAATCCTCTCAAGTCAACTATCCCACTGGTTTGTGCCCAGCTGCCCTGCTAGGAAAGAATCTCTCCCACATACACCCAAAAGAAGGGCCCATCTCTTTGTGTGGCTGCAGGGGTATAGAGACAAGCTGCCCTTTAAGCTTATCTGCCTTCAGGGTGAGGAAGTGTTGCTGAGCAGGACAGGATTGAGGTTAATTTGGTTTTGACTTCACTAGAGGAAGAGTAATTTAAATAATTTACCCAAGGATTTAATCTGTCTCCAGATTCACAAAGAAGAACAAGCCTCAGGTCATACCTGGCTCTGTCTAAACATGCAAAATAAATGTGCAAAGTCACACACACGTGCCAGCAGCACAAGAGACCAGCATGACCTCATGGCTTGAATCTATGGGTGCTTCGCCTGCACTGGGCACTGCTGGGCACTGAGTAGGACAGGAAAGGCACATGGGGTGCCCCTTAGTAAGGGAGCAGTCTCAATAAGGCCCCAGGCCCTTGTGCTCACATTCTGGAGAGGCTTCCATGATTTGTGGAGCAGTTGTTGGACTGGCTGTGACACGCAGCCCCGGGCATCGCATGCTGCGGACCACCACGCCTCCTCCACAAGGGATGACGCATCATGCAAACATCCTCCTGACCTGTTTACCTGCCTTGCCATCTCCTAAAACCCAACAAACTTGTTTTGAAGACACAGTTTGTTATATAAGAGAAATGACTGTCAAAGGCCAGCTCTGCCTGAACAGAGCTGAGTTACTAACAGCAGTGTTCCTACAGCTGAAGGGACCCCAAGCACATCAGGTCAAGGAAATTAGCCCACATGCCATTTAGGTTTTATACCAGCTGAGCGACAAAGGCAATACATCCTCAAAAACATTAGAAACTTCTCTGTGGCCAACCTGAGCTGCTCTGACACCAGGTCACAATCTGGCAGGGTGCACTGTGTGGTGCTGACAGAGCCAGTTTACTGTTTCGGCCTTGCAAAAGCCTCATCCAGCTACAGCTTTCATGTAGACATCTCACCCTGAGAATGCCCTCTCTGTGAGCTCGCACCACTGCCCCTCGCACATGCCAACCCTGCAGCACCACTGTGCCAGCTGCCTCCTGTCGGGCACCAAGGGGGCTGAGGTTTCCTACACAGGGAGAGAAATCGGCCGTTTCAAGTGTACCATCATTCTGGGAAATAGCAGGGAAAAGGCTGTCTGCAGTGAGCTGGTGACGATTCCCCTTTTAATGGAACTTCAAAGTCACAAGCATTTCTAGACACTTGACACAGGCTCCTATGCCATAGAATGGAGTCTCTCAACATCCTGTTGTGGGTCTGTATTACACTATGACATTTTAAGTTGTGTTTTGATGGGAGAGGCAGTAATTTACTGACTTTCAGCCACAAATCAGTCCTTTGTTATGTCTGACCCATCTGTGCTTTCTTTACATCAAGCAGTTTTAATTTTCCCCTAAAAGCAGAAGTCCATGGCATGTGTGACAACATGAAATATCAACTCTCTGAGAGAGGGGAGGCAGATGAGGGATCCATGTATCACTGGCAGCTCTCCCAACATGGTGCAGCAATCACAAAGACATGAGGTGACTTTTTTCCAGCTCTTGCTTCTTACAAAAAGCAAGACCATCTAAAATTACAGCCAGCACAGGTAAGTGTGCCCAGGCATGTGTCAGCCAGAGCCATGCCATGCAGACCCTGCCCTGCCACAGGGAAGATCCAGCAGTGGGGGGGTGGCCCCAAGCTGTTTCAAATGGCACATGAGTATGGGCTAGCTTGTTTCCCCATGCTTGGTTTGAGGGCAAGGTCACCATCACTTTGAATAGGAAGAAGGTTTAGAGAATTGGGGTTGCCCAGCCTGGTGAAAAGGAGGCTCTGGGGATTCTTTATGGCAGCCTTCCAGTACCTGGAGGAGGCCTATAAGAAAATCTGGGACAGATATTTTAGAAGGGCCTTTTGCAATAGGACAAAGGGTAATGATTTAAACTAGTAGTGCATTGATTAGATTAACTATAAGGAAGAAGTTTTGCATTTGTATGGTGAAATACCAGCACAGGCTGCCCAGAGAGGTGGTGGATGCTCCATCCAGGGAAACATTGAGGGTTAGGTTGAATGGGGCTTAGAGCAACCTGATCTAGTAGAAGATCTTTCTGTCTTTGTGGCTACAAGCAACAAAATACAATGGGGCTGATCTAGGCAACCTTTAAGAAATCCCTTCCAAATCAAGCTATTCTAAACCTCTGTGATAATAACACACCCTATCTGTTTCTTCTGCTTGTTCAAGCACTCTCCATCCTTCCACCTCTTCTTCCTCAGAATCATCATCGCAACCCTCTCCATCTTTCCAGAACCACCACAAGCACAGCCCACCCTCCCATCTCTCTTTGCCTAGAGCAAGGCCACCTCGCCCCTCTCCTGTTCTTACCCAGACGATGCAAACCCCACCTTCATCTCCCCTGACCCGCCACAAGCCCACCCCACACCTCCATCCCCTTTTCCCTTAGCACTCCGCATGCCTGCACCTCGCCTGCCCCGCGCACATCCCATCCTCCCGTCTCCATCTGCCCCGCACAGCGCATCCCTCCAGCCCTCTCCGGGCGGGCAGCGTGGGCGGTGTCCGGGCCGTGGCCCCGCGCCGCCCGGGCACGCCGCCGCCTGCCCGCCGGGCGCGGGGGGAGGGATCCCCGCGCCTTTTCGCTACGTCAGGGCCGAGGGAAATCCCCGCTGGACTCGCAGCCGCGCTTTTAGCGCCGCGCTCCGCCCCCGAGCCGGCAGAACGCTGCTGCCGCCGGCCCGAGCGCACCTCGAGCGCTCCGTGCCCCGCCGAACCGAGCCTGGGCCCTCCGTGCCCCGCCGAACCGAGCCTGGGCGCCCCGTGCCGAACCTCGCCGAGCCCCGGAGCTCCGCGCCCCGCCGAGCCCCGTCCCGCCGCCGCGATGATGCCTGGCCGGACCCTGCGCAAAGCCGCGCCGCCTGCCGCTCCTGCAGGTACCGCGGGGTGAAGGAAAGAGGGGACGGGACGGCATGGCATGGGGCAGGGACGGTACAGGACAGGGACAGGGATGGGACACAGCAGGGACAGGGACGGGACACAGCAGGGACAGGGATGGGACACAGCAGGGACAGGGACGGGACACAGCAGGGACACACCGTCCTGCGCCGGGGCGCTGCTGCCCAGCTCCAGCACCGGGTGGGCGGCCAGCGCCCTGCGCGGCTGCCGGAGCCCGTGTGGAGGCGAGAGGGATCCAGCGGCTGCTCCCAGCGAGTGGGGGGCAGAAAGGGTGCGGGGTGGAGTGTGTTTCGTGATGAGGAAAAAGTGAAAAATCGGGCAGAAAGGTACCGTGCTGTGGGGATCTCATGAAGGCGCTAAGCAGGCGCGTTTCCGCAGAGCGAGAGGCGGCGGTGGAGTGCGCCCTGGAGCTGACCCGCATCGGCGACAGGTGGGACCTGCGGCAGAGGCTCCTGAACCTGCTCGCCAAGATCTTCTGCCCCGGAACTTGGGCTGCCCGCAGACACGGCGAGCGGAACGGAAGAGCACCTTGGCTTTGTGGGTTCGGAAGAAGAGGCTCCACAGACATTGGGAGATGAAGAAACCTCAAATCTCGCTGCGTTGTATTTGGGTGACTGCAGCTGCTGGAGGATGGCTATCACATGTTTTCTCTGAAGAATGTTACAGCAATTCTGGCGTATGAATGCCAAGTGGGGAAAAAAGATAATGATGGGCTGAGCCCCTAAACTGTGCATTGGTGACTTGGGGCGAGCTGGTGACCTGGGGAGATTTGGGACAAGACTGAACTTGCCCTTCACCATGGTCTGAGAACGCTTTCAGGAACCTGGTTTCCCCAGCCACCCTCTGGTCCTCATGTCCCACAGCCATGTTTCACCGAGGAGCTCAGCCCGCCTACAGGATGAAGCAAAAAAAAGTGTCAGTCTGTTGGAACTTGGGATCACATACCACACAGAATAAGAAGCCAGTTGCTGACCTTTGACTGCTCCTCCTCTCTAAAGTGTGGATCCTGCTGGACAGGGATCTAGCGGTGTTTATTAAAATTTGTTAAAGACAACCACTATCTTTATTGGAAATTTATTGTTACAGGATGTTGTTTTGCAGACTAAAAGTTGTAATTCTATGAATTAATACAGTGTTGCATAGTTCTAGTCTATAGTATAAGTATGTAGTATAAGTTTATATATATAGTATGTATACATAAAATATAAATGTGTGCACTGCTAGTGCATGTAATGAATATTTAATAGAACTATTCATCAAAAGCTGTTGGTTTAATTTCAAAACACAGTATGAAAAAATGTTCAAAACATGACAAAACTAAATATAAAATGGTATTATATAAACAAAAAAAAGAATAATATTTTCTGATGATAAAGGAAATAAGTCATGCTTCAGAGAGGGAAGCATACTTTGCATAAGGTATGTATCTGAATATATATTACACATACACAGATACATAGGTAATTGTGGAAGGATTCTTTCAATATTACAAAGAATTTTTTGATAACAGTACAATTCTGCTGTGTCTTTATAAGTAACAAAATAACTTCAATAGAAGTAGATCCTAAAGTTGAATCTCAAGTTTTGCTGAGAATGTTATTTATTCAAAGAAAGCAACTACCTCTCTTTGAAGAAATAATATCAATAGAATTGAGCATTTCCGTGGTACAAGAAAGTAGCCTTAGATTTTTGAATGTTTAATTATACTTATGGATAAAGGTTCTTACTTTGTACTTTCTTTCCATTTCATTTCATGGCCTCCTCATCTCAGTTCCAGAATGGTGGAGCTGTGGCAGCACATCCAGTGGATGGTGATGCATCATCACCACTGAGGGCTTACGTGGGATTGACCCATCTCACTGAGGGGATATTACCTTTGGCTGGCTTCAGAGGAGCTGAATTAAACATGTTCATTGCTGTGGAGGCAAACAGTAACTTTGCTACTCCATTCATGTCATGCTCCATCTTAAACAGTACTTTCCATGGGTCCAAGACAGCAAGAAAAAGGCTGAAGCTGTTTCATAGCTACCTCTAAGGTCACTGGTGAGAGTTCCTTCTCTTAACTACCCTTGTATATAAGCACATTTGAATTTTTAAAGCTGTATAGTTACACTTTGTTATTTGTGTCTATTCAAATTACGTCTTTTCCTGTCTTGTGGTGAATTCTTGTTTGTATTTATAATTTATTTTTCCGTTATATCTTTCTAATTTGCCTTTGCAAAGTTGTCATTTTGTAACTCTGGTCACTCTCACAACCAGCTGTGCAGGGGCTGTTATGTATTGACACTGACTTCTGTCACTGAGCAGAAGCTGACTGACTTTGCCTTCTTTCCACGTGGAAGACTTAACCCCACCCATCCCAGTGGCATTACAGGGAGCTTTGCTCTTGGCTTGAGCCACGTGCATGGTTCCCTTCCTCTCTAAGCTAGCCAGTACCTTTTCAGGGAGAACACAATATTTCAAAAATAGTTGTTATTTATCTTATACTGCAAAGCAGTGCATTTTACTGACATGTACATAGGTCAGTTTTTCAGGTACTAAAAAGTAAAGGCAAAGAGTTTCAGACCAGCAGAATACCAGCTCCCAGGCTAGCACTGCATCCAGCTGGGCAAAACTTCACCAAAGACAGCTCCAGCTTCATAAGAAGGGTTGCTGTTGTATATCCTGCGCTTGGTGGAGTCTTGGAATCTTCATCAAGGACACTGAACAATGACCACGCCTGTCTGGAACTCTCAGAAGAATTCAGTACTAGCATGCACATTAGTAGCTGAAAAGTATGTGAATAAAACTGTTCTGTTCAATGCATGCTGCTTGCAAAGTCAACAGGAAACGAGGTGTGGAGTTGCAGAACCTACCCTGTTCTTCATCTGTAGCACATATAAATATTACCAAAAAAATTATACTCATAAATGCATTGTCATGGGGATATCCAAGTTTACTGTTAGCACAGTATTTGTCTGCCTGGTTATGCAAAGACTATTTACCTTTTTTTGAAATGTTTTAGGTTTTTCTGTGCATTGTCAAGAATGGCAGTGTTCAACAGGAACTCAGGAAAAAGGCACAGATGCAAGAGGTCAATGCCAGTATATGACCAAGTGCTTGCTGATGTCCACCCTAGATTTCTTTTGTTACTTCTGCAAAGGATCTGCTTTTGACTTTATCAACATGAGTTTGTTTTCCTTAAGGCCTGTTCTGGATGCGTGCCAGATGTGCTGCTGTACGCCTCACGCATGTATGTCTTGAGTTCTTGCTAAGATAATAAATACAAAGTGTTTACAAGAAAAATGAGTCACAAAGGTTTCTGTCACTTGGGTTTTCTTTTGTGGATTGCGAAAGCATGGCTTTATTATGCAAATTCCTTCCATGCTTCCATGTCAGCAGGCAAAAGCAGGAGGGCAAGAGCAAAGTGCCACCAGGTATGCTTTGGTAGATTAGGCTTTGCCTTCTGCCTTTAAAAAGAAAAATAAAACATAACCATGACCTTGAACGTCAAAATGAGACACGTATTCTAGTATTTTTTGTTAACTAATGGCTGCAGAATATTTGGGTGGCACTGGGGGCCCATTACTTCTACCAGAGTAGCTGCAGCTTTGTAAAGGAGTGTTCCTTGTAAAGGACAGACATCCAAGTTAAGGGTTTTGTCCAAGATGCAGGCAGAAAGGAATACAGCATTTTGTCAGGCAAAGTTGACAAAATGCTGTATAAACCATTACTTTCTCCACAGTTTGAAGCTGGAGATTGGGAAGAGAGGGAAGTGATGCTGCTTATCACAAGGGAACAGCAGGGGGATAGTGCAGAGCACATTTTTCTTCCCTACTGCTGGGACCCAAAGATGTGTCTGTGCAGGTGAGAGCCTGAGGTCCTCCCCTGTTATGCCAACCATGTCAGCAGGCTCCCTGCTCACTCATCCTGATGCTTTTTCCCAGCTTCACAGGCACCCTCCCTGTAGCTCACGTTCCCAGTGCAAGGAGGATTAATAACTTCTGGGCCAAAAAGACTTGTTTCTAATAACCAGGAAAAAAACCCAAAGAGATGCAACTCCCTGTTCTTTCCCACTTAGTCACCAGCAGAAGCCAGGAAGACTTTTACTTTGGAGGGCAACAATCTGGTGAAAAGTGCTACCGTAGGTGCTGCACAGAGGTCTGGTTTTGCAAAGTTTCACCAGCAAGTCATACTTGCATGACTGATCAGACTTGTGAAAACATTCAGACACTCTCACCTGCTTCCCAATGGAGTCTGGCCCCTCTCCAGCCCACCAGAGCAGTGTCCAGTCACCTACATAGCATGATGCTTGTGACCTGCTCCTCCCTAAAGGGCGGGGGGAAAAAAAAATCCTATCACTCCTATCACTGGCATTGCAATCTAAATCCACTTGACTCACCCACAAGCATCTGATATCAAAAAAGCAAAACAAACCCACCTGGCGAAGCAAACTGACAGAGTTGCCACCCTATAACGCTCTCCATTTACCAAAGCACCTGGCTAGAGTGCAGTGCTGGGTTGTGTTTCCACTGTGGTCCCCCAAGTGAAAACCAGCCTGGCCCCCTTGGCCAGCTCATGCCTTCACACCTGAGACTGGATGCACAAGTGGTATTTCCCAAACAAAGTGCCAGACAAGGAGATACTTCCTCTTCTGCTCATGAGATGTTTTTGCAAATCAGCTGAAAAACAATGTCTCATATGCTGCTCATTATTTTTAGTAGACACTGCTGGATGGGACTAAGTTGAATCACTTTCCTCCCATTAACACAAGAGGGTGTGAGGGCATGATGTGCATCCACAGAGGCATAAGGAGGCCGGGCAGGAAGAGCTGGGGATATAATACATCACCTTTCAGTCTGGCAGGGTTTCCCCTGAAGCAGGTGACTGTCTGATGGTGGGACTGTCAGTGAGCAATTGTCCCAAAATCTGTTACAGCTGTAAACAAGGGTCCTCACCCAAGTGCGTCAGGACATTGTCTGGCCCGTGTAACAAACAGGCCACACCAAGGCTGCCCTGCCTTCTCATGCATGGGCTCTTTAAAATGCAATTCTCACCAGCCCTCTGAAAGCGTGGAGGTTGCTGTCACTCCTTCAGCAACAGGAGATATCCCATTAAATAAATAAATAAATAAATAAATAAATAAAACTGTTTCAGCCATTTCATCTTTGGTGGCTTTGGTGTCATTCCCTCATCCCCACGGAAGGGTAGTGGGAGCACCATGAAGTTCAGAAGCTCAGCTCCCTCATGACACGGTCATCACTTGAAGGGGCAAGGAACCTTTTTGTAGTGGACAGGCCAGCTCACAAATCTTAGGGAAAAAATATTACTTTCAGCAGCACCCCTGAATAAGGCAAATAATAGGATGCTGGCACTACCTCCCTCAGCTCCTGGGTCCAAGCAGGGATTCCAGTCCCCTACGGTATGGCAGAAATTAAGGGATAGCATCCTGCTTCCACCTTCCCCTTTGTGCTGCTGACAGGGATGTGACAAAGCTGCAACAAAGGCAGGAGGCCACAGTCATGTCTGCCCTGCTTGGGATCAGGAGTTAGGGAGGAAATTTTTGACAAGAGCAGCTGGACACTGGACATTATCCAGC